GTGTGTGAGAGGGGGCTCAGGGCTAAGGGCAGGGGGTTGGGAGGGGGCACTTATCTCAGGGTGGGGGGCTCCCCGGCTCCCACTGGCATGGCCTTGCAGCTCCTAAGTCCCAGCCCTGGTTCCCAGCCAATGGGAGCTGCGCAGCCGGTGCTTGTGGCAGGAGCAGCGTGCAGAGCCCCCTGGCTCCTCTGCCACCTAGGAGTTGCAGGGACACGCAGAGCTGGGTTGGGAGCCTGCCAGCCCTGCCAAACCTTCCCCCCCCAGCACCAGCGGGGGTACCGGGCCATGCGCCGCTGCCCATCCCCCTATCCCCCAGCACCAGCGGGGGTCCCAGGCTGTGTGCTGCTGCCTGCCCCGTGCCCCCAGAACCAGCGGGGGTCCCGGGCCACCTCCCCCAGCACCTGCGGTGCCCCCGAACCACCCCCCGCAGAGCACCTGAGGCCCCCCACCCAAGTTTTAGTTAGGGACTTATAGTAAAAGTCATGGACAGGTCATGGGCCGTGAATTTTTGTTTACTGCCCGTGACCTGTCCAAGACTTTTACTAAAAATAGCTGTGACTAAAACGTAGCCTTACTTATTAGGAACAAACTCCAGATGCAACAGCAGGGCAAGAAATGGCATCAAAATGAGGAGTTTTAGAAGTAGGAAGTTACAAAGTCTAGATAGGATTGTTGGCTCTGTTTCTGGTTTATTTGGTTTAGTAATGTCAGTAAGCAGCAGGGCTGGTACGGAATATATAAAAAGACATTGGGTATTTTAACCATGAACAAACAAAGAAGGTTTTACAGGTGTGAAAGGGTTCGTTCTACAAGAAAATGTACCATTTATAATTTGCACAATATTGATATATTGTTTAACTAAATACAAATAAAATCAATGTTAATTAATATAAATAAAAGGGCAAGTTAAAGAGATTATTTGTTCTGCCAATGGGAGCTATGTGTTAACCACTATTTGTAGCACCTTAAGAAATGTTAAATAAGGTAAAAATTCCCCAACATTAAGGATAAACAACTACTTACCTGATATTGACCACAGTGCATTTCTAAATTTGGTAAGGAAAGGAATCATTGTGTCAAACCCTCTAAGAAAGTCTCTTTTTGCACTATTAGAAACTTGGGGTCAGGGACACCACGTCCAAATCAAGGGTCATGTAATTTTAAAAGGTCATGCACAGTATTGGCTTCCCTTACGTACCCTTGCAGTGTGTTTGCCCAGATGAGACCCTGACACTGCAGTATTCAATACACTGGCAGTGGTCTGTTCACTAAGTTTATCGCTAAGGGCTGGTCTACACTGGGGAGGGGGGTCGATCTATTCGCGTAGCTGAAGTCGAAGTATCTTAGTTCGACTTACCTGGCCGTCCTCACGGCGGCAAGTCGACCGCCGCGGCTCCCCCGTCGACGCCGCTTACTCCTCCTGCCGAGGTGGAGTATGGGCGTCGATTCGGAGATCGATTTATTGCGTCTAGACGAGACGCGATAAATCGATCCCCGATAGATCGATTACTACCTGCCTATCCGGCGGGTAGTGTAGACGTGGCCTAAGACACCCCTGACAGGAATGCCTGGACCTGCCACAGTTACTGGTATATCCTAACAGCACACAGTCATTAAGGACTCCGCACATGGTTCGTTCTGTGAAGGCAGTGGTTCTCAACCAGGGGTATGCAGGGGTCTTCCAGGGGGTACATCAACTCATCTAGATAGTTGCCTAGTTTTACAACAGGCTACATACAAAGTACTAGCGAAGTCAGTACAAACTAAAATTTCATACGACTTGTTTATACTGCTCTATATACTAGACACTGAAATGTAAGTACAATATTTATATTCCAGTTGATTTGTTTTATAATTATATGGTAAAAATGAGACAGTCAGCAATTGTTCAGTAACAGTGTGCTGTGACACTTTCATATTTTGATGTCTGATTTTGAAACCAAGTACCGGTAGTTTTTAAGTGAGGTTTAACTGGGAGTGCGCAAGACAAGTCAGACTCCTGAAAGGGGTACAGTAGTCTGGAAAGGTTGAGAGCCACTGTGCTAAGGGATAGTGATACAAGTGTACGTGTGATGTCTTTGACATTGTCACTCCAGTGTGTAATCATCCTGGTCTAGACCAATTGAGTGAGCCTGGGAAGCTAGTTGCTACAGTCTCGAGTTGGTGAAGTGGAGAGGATGATCTATATGCCACTATTCCAAATTCTGTTGTATCCTACAAAAACGCACTGTGATTGGACAAACTGTTATAACCCCCAGTCCAGTTTTTAATGATGTGTCTACAACTCACAGTGAGCCTGACCGTCAGGATGAAATGGAGGCGATGGCACCCATTTTTGATGTATGCATTACCCCACTAACCTTGACTATGAAGATTTTGTTAAATCAGAAAGATACCCATGTTATGCAAATTAGCAACAGCCTGGGAAAAGCAAAGTGATCTCAATCAGTTATTTCATGATGGGGATCTCAATATTCTATTGTCGCATACTTAAATAGAAGTAACCTTCAAGAGTTTGATTGTGTTACAAATAATTATAATTCTCATTATGTTAATTTTATTTTGCCACTTACGTCTGGTTAAAGAGCAAAAAATGTAAACAAATGCTTTACTTGCTAATCCTTTTGTAACTCTGAGGAAACAAGTTACTGTTACTGAATATCTTACTTACAGCTTTCTGCTTAAATAAGTGGCACCATAAATAAATTTAAAGTGACAAGGCAGGGCCTATGAACCTATGAACCAGACTTTTGTAAGACCTTTAGCTCACTCATGAACCAGACTCCCAGAATCCTCTTTGGTCACGCTAAGAAAGGAAAATACAAGCTTGCTGAACTTGTTAAGAAAGAAATAGTGACCTTTTCCTGCTCTTTTGACTGTGCAAGCAAGGTCTTCAACTGCAACAGCCAGGAATATATATATAAATATAGCATACCAATACTAAAATAATGAGTAAGAAGGGATAAGCAATTATCAGAACAGGGCCGGCTCTACCATTTTTGCCGCCCCAAGCAAAAGAAAAAGAATGCCGCTCAGACTGCCGAAGCAAAAAAAACCAAACAAACGGCTCGGACTGTGCCGCCCCAAGAATGGACGGAATGCCGCCCCTTAGCATGTGCCGCCCCAGGCATGTGTTCCTCCGCTGGTGCCTGGAGCCGGCCCTGTATCAGAACCAAGACAAGACTGGAATCAGCTTGTCATACTGCAGGGTCAGTTCTACGGATTGTGGTAACTATGATGGATACCTATTTCTGTCGGGCGCTGTTTTGATATCTAATCGTTTAATAAATTCAATCACTCTGAC